CTGAGGGTTGCGATCCGTTGCCGGACACGGAAAAAGACAAAAAGACAAAAAAAAAAAATACTTTGAAATTTGGTCTGGCCTGTTGGCTCACTTGGGAGAGCATGGAACTGGTAAAACCAAGGCCATGGGCTTGGATCCCCATGCCAGCCACACACACACACACACACACACACACACACACACACACACACACAGGTGCGCACAATTTCTGAAATTTACAAATGTAATTAAATTAACCAACATAAACCAGTACATTCCATATGATTCCATTTATATAAAGTTAAAAACAAGCAAAGCTAATTCAAAAGTTAGCAAATGGGTTACCTTTGAGGAAGACAAGGTAGGATCTTGGAGTGGGAGCAAAAAGGGGCTCCTGCAGGGCTGGCGATGTTCTGTTTCTTGTGGGCACTGGTTTTGAGATGTGTTTGATTTAGATAATTTATTGAGCTATAACATTACTTTCATACTTTTAGATATGTATGCTATGTTTCAACACACAAATCTGATTAATTATATTTAGAACTTTTTCCCTGGATAATTCCAAAGCCAGTAAACAGAGTGGTTTGTTCAAGACTCTGGAATTACAGGCTCTAGATTTGTATCCCGGGTGTTACTGCTTTCTGTCTCAGAGATCATGGCCATTACTAACTCTCAGGGCCTCAGTTTCTTCATCTGTAATTGGATTAATTATGGCTTCTTTTTCATATTGATGAGATTAAATCCTCAGAATAAATACTTGCTCTTGTGGGGCCCCGTCGTTCCTTATTCTATGGACTGTGGACAAGACAAACAAAGGCCTGGGGAAGAGGAGAGAGAAGGATGAGGTTTCAGTCACAGACATTTTCTAGGTGAAGAGTGAGGGGGAAGAGCAGAGNTGGCTGGTTCGTTTTTCCAGCCATGACATTGTCCAGTTGGCAGGGCAACAGAAATGCCATCAAAAAGCCAAACATAAACATCATCTGTATCTATTTATTTCCACATCTGTTCAAATATTTCTGGAGGATACAGCTGTAGGATATGAGTTCTTGCAGCATGATGGCCGGGCACTCCATCACTTCTTATGTCAAGAGGATGCAAAAACAATCACTCCCATCTGAAGAGGGCTCAGCTGAGAGTGGGAGACCCCAGGCAGGAGTCATTATGTTGATGCCATAAGGGTGGGGGGATGGAATCTGGCATGTAGTTACTCATGGAGCTGTTGTGAGGGTGTTTCTTTTAAAGCAACTGTCCTTCATTAGGTTTGTCTTTTTTTTTTTTTTTGATAATACAAGAAATACATGCTCTTTGTAAAATTTGAAAAACACAGCTGAGAGACTTTTCTGCTTGGTGTGGTATGAGCATTCTTTTCCTGTCCACTGTCCTAACCCTATCTTTGAATTTTATCTAGATTATCTCATGAAACTTTCCAATTCCCCAAGGCCCAGACATTTATTTCCTTCTTAGGTAGGGAGATCAAGGCTCAGAGTGTTACATATTTGCCTGAAGTTATGCTCTTAAATCTAAGTACTGCAACCAGTTGACAGTACAATTTTGTTCTGTGAATGGTCCTTACAACATTGGTTGTACAAAGGCACAAAGATATGAGGAAGTTCACAAGGAACTGTTTGTAATGTTGAGAAATTGAAACCAACTAAAGAAAAGCCGATCAATTGGGAATGGTCAAATAATTATGAAGCTTTCATAATAATGAATTTCATGTGGTCATTTAAAAATTGAAATATATCTGAAATAAATCAATTTTCAACATTTATGTAAAGAATATTATATATTCATATCTATCTATCTACATATCTTTATTAATATAATCTATATCTTTCTATCAGTCTAAATGCATATGTCTATAAAAAGGAATAGTTTGGCGGGGATAAGGGAATTTTTTACATGTTGGTATTGGTTGATGTTTTTCTTCTTTA